GTCGGCTGCTGAAGCCGCTGCTACCACCTGGGGAGACCGGACTTTGAGCAGCATACAATTTAGCGGGAGATGGTGAGCGACCGTCTTGTGACATTCGTCGTACTACAAAAAAAAATTGAAAAAAAAAAGTCGTGTCAGTCGAATGAAAAATACGAACGAATCTTTGATGATAAGTTAGAAATGATCGCGGTGGAATGAAGGTGTGGGGATGAGTGCTATTTATAAAATGCTAGTAAGCAGCAACGGTTGTATAACAATCCGAAGGATTAACAGGGAATGGGAGTCACTAGTATGTACCTGGTCTCTTAGTTGGACTGGTACTACCGCGACGACGAGTTGGACTCTCAGTGCGTTCTTTGAGCAAGCCATCGTATGCAATTCCAAGGTCGTTCACTTTGTCCACAGTATTACCGTAATCACGGTACTCTTTCTGAATAGGTTTCAATTCATCAGCTTGTCTCTTTAATTTTTCTAAGTCAACAGCTACAGGTTCTAATCTTTGAACCTTGTTTTCGGTACGTGTTAACCAATCAATGACTTGGTCACGAAGTTTCTCATAAGCAGACAATTGTTCGGCTCTGGATTTGCTGAGTCGTTGTTTCTCATCGATTAGATTGTTAACTTCCTTCCATTGAGATTCAAGCGCCTTAATCTTGTCTCTGATAGGTGCAGCATCAGTGACGTCCTTCTTCGAAATCAGATTCTTTCCATTGCGAATCACGTCTTCAAAATTAGATCGTTGATCTTCACGTTTATCCATTAGGTTCGCCATTTTGATCTCGTACTCAGCAACGTCCAATTTGTTCAAGTCTCTCGATTCTAACGATTCGATCATATGAGCGCACCAGCCGTCGAATTTAGTAGCTTCAACGAGGAAATCGCTGAGAGATTGTGCAATTTCGTCCAAGAATTCACCCCTGCGCAAGGATTTGTCCATCAGCTTCTCGAATCTTCCCTGGACGTCCTTCAATTTGCTCTCTATGCGTTTCGCAATTCTTGCATTACTGGAATTCGTTAACAGATCACGAGCACTGCTGGCTACCGCTTCTACACTCAAACGATGACTGTCTAAGTCTGCTTGAAGCAGACGCTGATCCCTCTGTTGTTCTTCCAGGCGTTCTTTTTGTAAACTGGCGGGTCGTTGAATATTTCTGTAAGCAAGAGAATCATCATATTTATATTAATTCCTTTACCAAGTCAAATATGTGTTCCTGAACATCGTTACATACTTGAACTGGCTCTCGATATTGTTCAACCAAAGCACCAAGCTGTCCAGTGCATCTTGTACCCCCTGACTTCGAACAAGCGCTGCATCCAGTTCCTGACACTTTTCACCAATGGCATTAGTCAGCTGTCTGTACTTGTCTTCCAAAGCTTTAGCTGGCTCTTCCAACTCGTCCACTTCCTTTGGTGTCAGTTGTCCATCCAAAGACCTCAGAAGAGCCTCAACAGTAACCTTTACGTTCTCAACTAAACGCTCGTTAGCTAACATCTCGTTGTTAAGTGCTTTCGCCTTGCTCAATTGATCTTCCACTTGTTTTGGCTCAGCTGCAACGGTTTCTGAGATAGCTCTGTGTATCTTTGGTTCAACTTCCTTCAGCCAGCTATTAGCCTTCTCAAGAGATTCACGATAATCTCTCTGCCTTCCTCCGATACCAGAAAGCTTGTCAGACAACGAATTAGCTCGTGATAATAAGTCCTTGTATTGTGCAGTGACTACAGAGACCTCGCCACGTACAGGAGAGTCCTGACTGGCTATAGGTTCTTTATGAGGCAGTCTCTGTGGCAAACTGGTTCGGAATTCATTCAGAACATGTAAGAATTCTTTGCTCTCGTCTACGAATTTCTGTGCAGCCATTGTGATGAATCTAAGATCAGCTTGGTGCGCTATGACATCGCTGATGAAGTCTCGCGTGGAGTCCGTGCTGCTATTCAGTCTGTTCAAGTCTGATAAGGAATGTTCTTTCTCTTCCAACACTCTTCTTGCATTGTCTAACCAATGAGAGAACGTAGACAACTCATTCCTGTAGAATAAACAATTAATTATTGTTAGATCAAACACGGCGATTAAAAACTGAAGAATCCCTCTTTCAATACTGACTTGAATTTAACCAATTCATCGCTGGCTGCGATCAATCGCTTAACCATTCTCTCGGTACGATCCGAGGCTCTGTCGAACCTGGTCTTCAAGGATCGACCATTCCTTTCCAATGTAGACACTTCTTCGCTGGACAACACGTTGCCACCAGTCAGAACCACCTGACGAATCTGATCGAGACAGGAGGAGACAGGACGTGCATGGGCTTCTAGATCTTCTTTGATCTCCTGGAAATATCGTTCGATGGAATCGTCAGTATATACGTTGTAAGTCTTCATTTACGAAAAGAGAATTAACGATGACAGATGACTTACTTTCATCGCGTTTATTTGATTTCGTAACTCGTCCTTGTCTTCTTTGACGTTGTCCTGATTGGCCAGCTTGTCCTCGACCTCTGATATCCACTGTAAAAGTCTCGATGACGTTTCGTCGCATAGTTTGTACTTCTCTTCGACCGCTTGCTACAATGATTTGCAACAGAGAAAACGTGCAAGTTGGTACGAATGACAGTGAAGCAAAACCACGGGCGCAATTAGTCTCTTATCTAACGTGCTCTCTTAATACATATGGAAATTATCAATTTTATAAGGAAACCGCCTCCTTACCAATGGCGGTCGCTCTGTAAGGAACAATGGTCAGTCAAAAAAAAATAAACAGAACATGGTAAGCTTAAAAACGTATCTCACGCATGCAAACACATACACACACTTGGAACGTAAAAAACGTAACACATTATAATATTAGATATTAAAGGAAAAAAAAAATAATAATCGCAAAAAAAACAGTTTTTAGAAGAACCAAAGAGATCTGGCTGATCTGCAGCGAGTAATCGAAAACTGCATATTTTGTCCCGTACGTGGTTTTTTCTATGCAGTCTCAAGCGAACGACAGGTACAGAGAAAAACGGAAGCCGCGTTCTCGTCTCAATAAGACGCGTCCACAAGCAGAACTGAACAACTGAAACGATACACATCGCACGAGGATAAATGGCGACGATAGTGAATGATACGGGAGAACGGGGGATTATAATACGCGCTTATTATTTACGACACATTATAAATATGTATACTATGTACGTATATATATATACACACACACATATATATATATACACATATACGTATATACTATATATGTCGAGCTATACTACGTGCTCTGAGCATTTATCTGCAAACTCGTGCTAGAAAAGAAAAAGACAGGATCGAGCTTAAAACTGAACGCAATATAACCTGAAAAAAAGGAAAACTTCAGTGTAAATTATCTTTAACTGAATTAAACAATATACGAGCATCGTAGAAAATTGGCAAAAAAAAAATGTAAATTAGAGCTTTCGTTACTTCGATGATTATTAAAGGGGGGTAGGGGGAGAGAGAGAGATAGATAATACTGTTTCTGATTTATGCGGGGGTATAATGTGCGATCGATGATTTCCTTGTTAAAGCATGCGAGATCACACGTAACACGTGGCTACGCATTTGAGAACAACTAGTTACTGTCGATTTATTTAATTCGTTAATATCGATATATGGTAGCACAGGTCGGTTCAATATCTCAACACGCGTTAATATGGTTCCCTTTCATCGTTTCACGCTTCTCTTTATAACCTTCTCTTTATGTTCCTCCACGAGAATTGATGAATGAAGAATTATGATCATGAAATAAAATCGATTCACGAATGAACAGGAATTTACTTAAAGAAAAGCGTGAAACTTCAGTTAACCAACGTGCAAATTACAATTAACAAAACGTAATACGATTATTATTATTATTAATCGATGATCCAGTTAGCATTGCCGATGCGATCAGGCGACACGAAAGATCGATGATATTAAAACTGGTATATATTATCATATGGACGAACATTGTAAGTTGTTACCGCTTTACTCTTACTTATTTACTTGTTTTGTTTCTAATCGGTGATCATCACACCATCTGAGATTAGTAGTACGACATTAGCCCCCTGTTACGTGAAGTATATAGCGAATGACGTGCATCTGTGTGGTGAATAATGCGTGTGTGATACGAAAAGAGGGGATAATAATTACAGAAGGAGCGCTCCACGTGAAACGTACATTCTGACGATTTTATCAATTCTATCTAATTGCTCTTTTCTTTCTCTCGTTATTATCGATCACTTGGCTAGGCCATGTATAGATTTTCTTGCTTTCTGTTATATATAGTATACTCTTCCATTGAAATGTTCCGCGAACATGCTAACCAACACTAAACACGTTCAAATATCGATATATCGTGGCACGCTCTTTTTTTTTCAACAGGGTCCATGCAGGATATATATGTTCAGATGACAATGTTGATGTTCTTGTTAAAATAACTGTTGCTATTTATTAATCTTGCTGCTATCGGCAAGATCGCCGATAGTATAGTTTTTGTGTAAGATAAAAGATAGGTTAAGTTCGCGAGACTCGGGATCGACTATCGTCGCACACGTAGAGCGATAGTCGATAGGATGCATCGAAGCGTACAATATACGTAACGATCCATAACCTTTTTGCAAGCGGTTAAGAAAAAGAGAAAGAGAGAAAGAAAAGGATAGAGAGAGTTACAAAATTCAGCATAAAAAAAGAACGTAAAAAACAAAACGAAAAGTGGCATTGTAGAAAAAAAAAAAAAACTGAAAAAACAATTCAGCTTGGAAAAAAAAGGAAAAAAAAACAAAAGCAGAACGAGATAGCCAGGAGCAAGAGAGAGAGGTTAGAGTTTAATAAGAGACAATAGACGTCGTGTATGGAACGAAAAAGAATAATCGTATAGTAAGAAAATAGAAGTATAGTAGAAGAAAAAGAAGAAGCAAGAAAGAGTGCCACTTACCCTAGCTTCTGCGGTGAGAATATAACCCTGCTCCAGGGCTTTCGCGAAGTCAAGGCTCTTTCCCGATGGATCTTCGATAAGCCTGCCCGCTATAGGATCTATTATCTTGGCATTAATTGCCTCTAACAAACTAACGATTTTACCGCTCCCAGGTTCTTTCACCACCGTGCTTGACGGATCGATCGAGCCCGAGTCGATCGCCTCTTTCAACGTCGTTGCCTTCTGATCTAACGCGAACGCGACACGGAACGGATCGTTCACTTGGCCAGAAGTTACGTCATACAGTCCATATTCCAACATTTCGATGAACGAAAGACCGCGTTTCGGCGTGATCAACAGTTCAGCCTCAACAGCCTTCGACAACGGATACAGTCTCGAGGTTTCTGTCTCCAACACATTTCCTTTCTCAGCGTCCATTAAACCTTTTCTAAATGCTTCCGCCAATTTCACTAATTTCTTCTTTTTAGTGTCTTTTATCAACGCAGAATCTGAGTCCACGATTCCTAGACTAACAGCTTCCTTCAAAGTCACCGGTTCACCAGTCTTTGGATCCGACAATTTTCCACTTTCCAACGACAAATGTCCCTTTTCTGTCGCTTCCTCGAAGCTCAGTGGGCGTATATAGAACACTTCCACGTCGCCGAAACGAACGAATCTAGGTGACAATTTTCCATCGGAAGCTTTTTTAGGTGAATCTGATTCGAATGTTCCTCTGATAGATGGATCGAGGATTCCTTCTGCCAGGACGTTGTTGATCGTCACGAATCTACCATTCTTTGGATCTTTAATCACTGCTGTATCTGGATCGAGGAGGTGATTTTCAATTGCTTCGTGGAGGGTGTATTCTTGTCGAGAGGGTTTATCCTTGTGAGCTACGCTTCTTCGCGTTGGTTGTTGCGTCAGAGATTTCTCTAAAGTCACAAGTAGACCTCTATCGAGGGCTACGTCTATAGGATAAGCACGTTTCGATTTTGGATCCAAGACTCTCCCATGAGGCACGTCTACGAAACCATTTTCTATGCCTTCTAGAAGGGATGTTATTTGACCTGTTGTCACATCTTTCAGAGCAGCTGTGTCCGGATCGAGGAGGCCCACGTCGAATGCCCGACTCAAATCGTAACTATCGTTCGATCTAGGATCGACGAATACTCCAGTTTCACTTCTATAGAGATCACTAGTGACTGCTTCTTCTATGCTAAGCGGAAGTTTAGATGGAACGATGTAGCCTCTTTTAACAGCTTCGCGAAGATTAATTGGTTCTTGTTTTTCAGGTAAAGCGATGTACATGCCGCGAGTATCGTCAATGACTCCTAAAGAAATGGCGTCAGAGAGTGATACGTATTTGTCCGATCGAATATCCTTAACGATGGATGTTAGAGGATCTATTAATTCTGATCTGCAAGCTTCGGCTAGAGTAAGCTTTCGATTGGTCGAGGGATGAGTGAATTTTCCGGAAACAGGATCGTAAATGTTCATCACGATTGCTTGATAAAGACTGAATTCTGCGGTTTCAATATCGACGATTAATCCTAATTGTAAGGCCAACGTAAGAGACACTGTTCTATTTGCTCCAGGTTCTTTGAACATTCCCGATCTTCTGTCTATTACACCTGCACGACAGGTTTCAGCTAGCGAGAGCAATCTATCTGCTCTCCTGTCCCAATAACATGCAAGAGTAGGACTGATTAGACAATTCCTCATTGCTTCATGTAGAGTGACTGCTCTTTCTGTGCTTGGATCAGTGATCTTTCCAGTCTGTTCATCGTACAGTCCTTGATGAATTGCTCGTTGCAATGATACAGCTGCTCTGTGATCCACAATTAGGCCAGCTTCATAGGCTTCTCGTAATGACATGACGGAATCTGCAGTTACATTCACTTTACCAGAGGATCCATCTATGTAGCCACTTCTGATGGCTTCCATAAGAGAGATCCTCTCTCGGAAACCACTTCTGCCATCCTTCACTGTCACAGAATCAGCATCTATTAGATTTGTCTGGATAGCTTCAAGGAGATGCAAATACATTCCTGTCTGAGGGTCCAAGAACATGTTCGTCTTTTCATCCAAAATTCCCTTGGAGATAGCTTCGCTGAACGTCATTGGTCGTCTTGCTTCTAAAAGCAGTCCATGCTCTAATGCTTCCCTGAAATCTACTGGTTTTCCTTTTTCGTTGGTCACTGTACCCGTCTTCGGATCTACTATCAATTCTTTGATGGCTTTATTAAACGTGATTGCTTTACCATGTGGTTGTCTAACAATCACAGCAGTACTTGGATCAATGGCTCCAACCTTGATGGCTTTATCAGTTGGTAATTTCTCTCTGGTTTCCGGAACGATGAAACGACCGGTTGTTGGCTCGTAAAGTCCTTTGAAGACAGCTTCAGGAAGAGATATCTTGCGTTTAGCTGGCACGATCAGTCCACGATCGAGAGCATCTGTTAACGATAGAGGTGTACTTGTCGATGGATCGATAGCTGTGCCTGTTTTGGGATCGATTAGTCCTTGTTTTATAGCTTCTCCAAGAGAGATTATCTCGCTGTTCCTTGGATCTTTCACCGAAGGACTGTCCTTGGCAATTAGTCCATTTTCAAGTGCATCCTCTAGTGTGTAACTAGCGCCATCTATCTGAAAGGTACCTTTTTCTGGATTGTAAGTCTGATGAGCCAATGCTTCTTGCAGTGACCATGGTTTCACTGTACTGAGGATATATCCCTTTTCATGTGCAACGTCTAAAGTCATAGGATGTGGAGCAACTAGGATTCCTTTGTTAAGATCGATTAACTGATTCTCTTCAGCCTCTTGCAGAGACAGTACTCTATCGTTTCTATCGTCCCTCACCATGGTCGTCTCTCCGTCGATATAACCTGTCTCCAGTGCTTCTTTCAACGTAGTTTTATCTCCGGTTCTTGGATTAGCAACGAGGCCAGTTCTTGGACAATAATAGTCCTGAATAATCGCATCGGTTAACGTTGGTACAAAACCTGTTGTAACTATCAGTCCTCTATCAAGAGCCACGTTTAACGAAAGTAATTCACCAGCTTTTGTATCTCGTAGACGACCTGTACTTGGATCCAACAATTTCGATTCTCCAAGTGCCTCTTCCAAAGACAAGAATGTTCCCGCTTTACTGTCCTCACATTCACTGATAAACGCATCGATTATTCCTCTTCGTACACTCTCCTCCACGTCTATCGATTGTCCAGTTAAAGTGTCTTTGATTTTACCCGAATCCTCTTCGTAAAGACCTTTTCGGATGGCAGCTTCTAAAGAAATCGGCTTACGCGATTCAGGAACCACTAATCCTTTCACAAAAGCGTCCTCGACATCGACTGTTGCTCTGGATTCTAACACCTCTTGAAGCGATGTGACTTCGTCGTTTACTGGATCTCGAATGCTGATTGAACTGGGGTCGATTAGGCCCACTTTAATGGCTTCGTTCAACTTGTAAGTTTGATTGGTCACTGGGTCGTGAACTTTGCAAGTGGATGGATCTAGTAAACCAGTTTCCACTGCTGTTCGTAGAGTTAGACCTTCACGACCGGCAATGTCAGAAATTTCTCGTTGTTCCATTGGTGGTTTCTGTTTGATTAGACCTTGTTTCACTGCTTCGAAGAAGGGTATCTTTTTGCCTGTTTTCGGATCGACCATGTATCCAATATTTCTGTCTACCAAAGGTTTTGCAATCGCTTCACGAAGGGTCGCGTATCTGTCTGTCGTTTTGCAGGATAAATCTTTTACCAAAACATCATCTGGATCGAAAATTCCAAGGTCCAGGACAAAATCGTTGAAGGAGATAACTTCTTCTGTTTCTGGGTCTAGGAACTTTTCTTTATCTGGGTCGTATGCTCCTCGAACAACGAGATCTCGAGCTGTTAGGTCAGGTGTCACTGGTATCACGAACCTTCTACTGTCTTCATCTAATTCAAATTCTTCTTCAGAGTCGCTGTCTTCAGGTTTTTCTAAAATTTCCATTTCTACAGAATCCACTTCTATTGTAGGTATTTTCTTTTGTTTTTCTACCTGTTCCTCAATCTTGACAGTGTCTTTCGATATTTCTTCTTGAGTTGGTACCTTAGAAAGTTCCTCTACCTTTGATGCAGGTTTTTCTTTCTTTTCTTTCACCTGTTCTTGGTCCTTGACAATGTCCTCTGATCTTTCTTTTTCAGCTGTTACCACTTTCAAAGGCTTCTCTACTCTTGGTTCTTTTTCAGGAGTTTTCACTTCCTCTTTCTTAGTAATTTGAGTCTCCAACTCTTTAGCTTTGTCTAGCTGTACTTCTGAAGGCTCTTCTGGTTGCTTCTTTTGAACTTCTTTCTTGGGGGATTCCCTTGGCTTCTTTTCCTCAATTTCCTTCTTAGAGGGTTCCTCTGGTTTCTTTTCTTCAATTGCCTTCTCTGATACTTTCTTTGGCTTCTCTTCTGCAACTTGTTTCTTAAAGGGTTCTTCTACTTCTTTTTCTCGAATCTCTGACTTGGAAACTTCTTCTTTCACTCTTGAAGACTTCTTCACTGTCTCTACCTTTCCTTTCTCTGTCAGTTCTACCGTTTTCTCTGCAACTGTAGTCTTAGCTTCCATTACAGATACTTTCTGCTGCACAGTAGATGAAACCTTCTGTTCCTTCTTAAGACGAGAAACCTTCTCTGCCTGCTTAACATCCTTGCTCTTGTCTTTACTCGCGGTAGCATCACGAACTGCATCGTACACTGCTTTTCCAAGAAGAACAGGTGCAGCAATTCCTGCCAAGAGTCCCAACTTAGCAGCCTGTTTCAAGGAAACTGTTCCATGTCCCTGATCGTCCTTTGTCTTCCCTGTCACAGGATCAATTATACCTCTCTCCAGTGCTTCTTTGGTCGTGACTGTTTCAGCGGTTCTCGTGTCGTAAATCACAGTGTTAGGATCAACCAATCCCACCTCCATTGCTTCACTAAGAGTGTAAGACTTATTGGTCTCCGGATCGACGAATCTTTCTGTCTTCTCATCGTACACTTGTTCAATCTGTTGCGTTGCTGTGCTTGTTTCAGCATCCAGACGCTCGGAAGAATCATCCAACAGTCCGTTCTCGATAGCCTCTTGAATAGGTATAGTACAGCCTGTCGTAGGATTAGTATAGGTACCAGTACTCATGTCTAACAGACCTTTCTGAAGAGCATCGTCAAACGTCATCTTGATATCCTTCGTTGTGAATTCTTCCTTCTTCTCTGATACATCTCTGACGATTCCCTTTTCACGTGCTTCGTTCATCTTCGTAACTTCGCCAGTTTCGGTATTCTTCACTTCGTTGGGACTCACTAATTCGTAACCAGGCGAAATTTCCAGGGTCTTGGTGGTAACAGTGTGATAGGATGTGATAGTTTCTGTGACTCCAGCGGTTACAGTCGTTGTTACACTTGCTGCTGGTGGTCTTACTACCAATAATCCGGATTCGATAGCTTCCAAAAGAGGTACAGGTGTTCCTGTAGTTGGATGAACGAAGACACCTGCTTCTCGATCGATCAGACCAGCTTCCAATGCTTTGGTCACCTCCATACTGTCAGAACTAACAGGACAAGGTAAAGACATTATGAAGTTACCCTTGATAGCATCTTCGAGGGACAATCGTTCTTTGGTAATTGGATGTACTATTTCCTTGCCTGTGGCGTCTATCAAACCTCTCTCTAACGCTACTGTGAAATGACGCTGCCTCCTTTACTGGTTTTTATCAAGGAATTCTCTGGATCGATGTGGTCACTTTCGATGGCGTTACGAAGAGTGTCTGTCCTGCCGTCGGAACAGGTCATTATCGATAATGGATCTACTATTTCACAGAGAATAGCTTCTCTGAGTGTCAGGTGAGCACCAGTTTCCGGATGAACTACTTTTCCTTCTTGAGGATCTAGCAGACCTTGTTTGTACAAACCAGGAATGGACAAACTCTTCGCCAAGGGTACCAATACATCAGCGCTTACCGGATCCAAGATTCCACGTTCTATTGCCTCGCCAATGTTAAGCACATCTCCCCTCTGAGGATCGACAATTTTTCCTGAACCTGCGTCTATCTTTTTGCTACGAATAGCTTCAGACAACGTGACGTATTTACCATCTTCCTTTTCCATTTTCCTTGTAAAAATCTCAGCCGTTTCTTCATCGATCAATCCACTTTCCAAAGCTTCCTTCGCCTTCACTACCTTCTTTCTCATCTTCTGAAGCACAATCGACTTCACTTCGCTGTCAGCAGTCGGTGGTACCATTGTTTCTCCGATAATTGCTTCGTACTTGGGTTCAAAAGGTGTTCTAGGTTTAAATTTCGCGTCTGTCGCTTCTTCCTCTTCGGTTCTCGACACTGAAGGCTCTTCGCTCGCTGCTGTTGGCGAGGAATCAGTCACAGAGTCCACCATAACCGTGGAACCAATGGCTGAGTCTGACTCAGAAATAGAAACGGAAGTTGGAGGTTTGCCGGAGACTGAAACCTCTTCCTGGTCAACCGGTGATACTTGTTCCTTTCCAGTTCGTTCAGCCTCTATCCTATGGGACACTGGAGTATCTGTGATAGGTGTAGAGGATGTAACAGGGACTAAAGGTGATCCTACCACGGTTACTATACCGAATTTCGCTGCATCGAGAAGAGATATTTTCCTATTCTCGTCAACGTTGTACTCAGCCGTGTTAGAGTCGATGATTCCACGTTGAACAGCTTCTACTATACCGACGTCCTTTCCTGTGACAGGATCTTTCACGACAACCACCTCAGATGGCAAAGTGCCATCAAATAGAGCTTGCAATAACTCCGAAGACTTTCCAGTTTCCGTTGAAATGACTAGAGCAGTACTTGGATCGTATATAAGGCCTCGCGAAACTCTTACGGGATCTGGTATCGCGTTACTGCTTTCGGAAACTTTGATTTCTAACTGCTTCGAAGGATCGTCCAATCGTGTCACTTCCAGTTTATCAGGTTCTCCAGATACCTTGGTTATTCTAAGTAATCTCTGCTGAGAATTGTCAGCTTCAGGTTGTTTACTTTCTAGGATAATCAGTCCTTTGTTAATTGCCTCCTTCATGGTGATCTTCTGTGGGTAAGTGTAATGACCTGTCGAATCCAGGATATTCTTCTCCAAACTTCGTAATAAGGACACTTTTCTACCGTTGTTCGGATCATACACGAAGCTGGAATTAGGATCGATTATTCGAAGTTTAACACACTCCTCGAAAGATACCAGTCTGTCTGTTCCTGGGATTATGAAGAGACCGGTAGTTGGGTCGAATAGTTTTCTTTCGATCGCCTCGGAAAGGAACCATCCATCGGTAGGCAATTCGAACACGCGTCTTTCTGTCGGCGGACTTTCCCGTTTAGGAGAATGGCCAAGTAAAGTCGTGTCTTGATCTCTATCCGGGTCTTGGTACTTGGTCCACGCTCGTTTCGTGAAATCAGTTTCGTCGTACGATCTCGCCGGAGACGTTCTATCTGTAACCGCAGATTCTTTCGTTTTAACTATACTAGACGATTTCACTTCCGAAGAAGATATCACGCGATCCTTGGCAATAATCGTCGTGGTGGTGCCAATAGCTTTAGGAACACTATCGTCGAGAGAAGGCTCGAAGGAATCAACTACATCTGGTCGTCTGTCGGTCATCTTGTCGTCATCCTTTTCTTGCCTAACTTCCTTGATCTTAGTAACTGTTTGCTTGGTCACGGTAACGTTCAACAATCCTGTGAGCAGAGCAGCGCCATCAGGAGTAATTAATCCACGTTTAATTGCACTTTCTAGAGGCACAGGTTTTTTGGTTCTGGGGTCTAACAATAGACCAGTCTTGGGATCGATTAGTTCGGAGAAAACTGCTTCTAAAAGTGTAATTTCTTTGCCCTCTTCCACTATTCCAATTCCTCTGTTAAACATCTCAGATACTTCCGGTCGAACGTAACTGCGTTCCTCAGCTTCAGCCAGTGAAACGGTCTCTCCGGTATTAGGATCAACGATGTAACTTCCACCAGATTTCGAACTAATTAGACCTTTGAGAAGAGCAGCGTTTAAGCTGATGTACTCTCCGGTTAGTGGATCTCTAAATCCATCCACGTTGAATATAGTCTGTTGTAAAAGAGAGGTAACAAGGCCTTTATCAACAGCTTCGGAGATGGCAATTTCTTCCGTAGAATTTGCGTCCTTGTAGCTTGCCTTTTCAGGATTAATTAGACCACGGCTCAACGCTTCAGTCAAAGTGACCGTTTCACCGGTTCTTACATCGACGATCGACTTCAATCGATCCCCATCAAGCACACCTCGTTCAATAGCCTCAGTCACAGTCAGTTTCACTCTGTGCGCTGGACTCGTGATTCTTCCACTTTCATCGATGATCTCGGTATCGCAACAATCCTTCAGAGTCATAGGTTTAACGATCAATTTTCTTCTACGGGCCTCCTTCAAAGATAATTTCTCCATGGTAACTCCGTGCATGTATTTCCCAGTTTTCGGGTTAACGATACCCAACTGCATAGCTTCGACAAGCGTCACCTTGGTGTCATTCCTCGCGTCAACGATCTCTCTGGCAGTAGGATCCAAAACCCCCATCGTAACAGCTTCGTCAAGAGCGTAATTCTCTCCTGTGACCCTATCTAACACACGTCCAAGCGTCTCATCCACTAAACCTTGCGTTATAGCGTCGGACAAAGGTAATGCGTTTCGTTTAACCGTGATAGAGACGTCCAATTCCACTAGGTATCCCCTCGCATGGGCCTCTTCAACGGACAGTCTCTTGCCGTCCTCGGTAACCAGCTCGCCTGTGCGCGGATCCAACGCGGAACCATGTTCAATCGTGCCTACGTCGTCCCTTATCGCATCGGCTACGCTAACCGTACCCTCATCGGCCGGTATAGTCTCTCTGTAGTAAGTTACCTTCGCTCTATCGCCTGGCCCACCGCCATCAGGCTTCTCCGCATCGAACAGCTCCCGCTGGATCGCCTCGAGTAGAGACACCGGTCGTCCCTCCTCGTCAAAGCCACACGGACCTAACAGACGATCAGCGAGACGCGTATCGATTATCTTCTCACGTGCTGCCTCCTCTATAGTACAGGTCTTTTTCCCGTCCCTCGAGCACACTATCCTACCCCTCCTAACGTCCAAGATCCTAAGACTGATCGCCTCGCCCACAGTTAACACGTTTCCGGTACGTGGATCTAAGATACCCCTAGCTTCGATTACATTCTCCGTACCTATACCCTCCTCCGACCTCTCTATCCTCTTTAGACTCCTAATCTCGCTAAAATGCACGCTGCTCCCGCTAATACTGCTCGTTCGGGACCAACATGACTCGTCCCTCTCGTCGATCCTCTTCTCCTTCTCATCCTCCTCCACATCATCCCGTTTACGCTTCTCTCTGTCCAGCTCGTTGTTGCTCTCCCTCTCCGATTGTACAACGCTAATCGTGGTAACACCGGCATCCTGGCCTTGTAGAGACGCTGTTCTACTATCTAAATGTGTGCTCTCCTGCGAGCTAGAGGGTCGTAACGAATCACTGGACAGGATCGTCTCGGTTTTCTCGGTTCTTTCTGTCCTCTCGTGTCGTTCCAGACTATACCTGCAAGTACGATCGATCGAATAAGGGAGTCAATTTACAATAGAATCTCGATTTTCTATTATGCAATCTACTGTGTACTCACTGTGACTGAGTATAGTGCGTGGTCGTTGAGGTGTAACGTTCTTCGCAGGTGCTGCTCTCGTAAATGTTGAACTCAGTGCGGAACGTCCTGAGCGGCCTTTGTTCCTGAAGCGCTCGCTGTAACATAAAACGAAAGAACGAATGTTATATATGCAGACTGTAAAGAAATACATTGTTCATTCACGCGAGAAGTTCGTTAAAAAGAGCTTAAGTGTTTCGCTTTGCAAGGACAGGTCAATTCGAAAATTACCGCGTTCACGATCCTCATATTGTGTTCTTATACACCGTCTAGCCGCGCCAACAGATCCTCGCGTCAGATTAAAAACACGCAACGTACGTGTCGATTCGCGTGTTCAGCACAGCGTCGTGACTAGGTCTAGAAACTGTGTCGCGTGGTCAGGGCTGTGCAGTGCTGCACCTTCGCGGAACATGTTCGCGCGTATAATCACTGCGCGACTGCCTCTACCCGACTGACTCAACTCTCTTTCTCTCTCCCTCTGACTCGATCGGGCCGAGAGTTGGCAAACCGCCTGTGCGCCTCTCGTAAACTCGAGAAACGAAGCATCTGCGCGTGAAAAAGCCAGATTCTTTTTTTAGAAATGCGACCGACCGCTCTTTACCGGCAGAGAACCGTCCGCGGTTAACCACGCCGGCTTCTTCTTCTTCTTCTTCTCCCTTTTCTTACGCTAATCGCGCACGGCAAGGTGAAATTGTCTCGTTCTAAATACCCATCGCGAGCTCAGCTGTCTCTTACGTATCTCTTCGTGATAGCACATCGTTCGAGTGTCTCTAGTCATCGATGCCCACACGTAAAAAATTTCAACGCTAACGTAATCGATGATTAAAGCGCGGTGGCACGTGTCTAGACTTATTCTATGCACGTGACACTGTTGCGGAAAAACTTCGTATTCGTTAAGAACGATCCCTTCCTTTTCCTTATCCCCTCCCTATTCCGATTAGATACTTCCAACTGTCCGAATAATCGTCGTCAGTGAAATCGTTCCAAATTTAACCATGATTCCTCGTACCTTTCGTACGATCTTAATGGTCGGCATGACGGACGTGTTCGTTGCAGTCCCCACGCGCATCTCGTGCGAAAATTCAACGGAGAAATCGCGACGAAACGCGTAAGAATACGCCCGGTTGCCGGCACCTTCCGACGTGTCTACGCTGCATTCACCAGCGCCAGCTGTGCACCAGAATCTGTCTTATGCGCCGTTGCCACAAATTTACACATATCGAGCCTCTTACCTCGCAACCAAGCTCGAGTATCGATTATGCGCGCGCCAGCGAAGGCGGCGGGAACAGCGAAACCTCGCCTTAAGGTTATGACAGGCGGTTATTACGCGAACGAAAAACGCGTGGGTGGACTAGTTGAGAGAGAGAGGAGATTTACAGAAGGACGAGGAGTTGTTCATTGCCAATTTTGTACATGTTGACAATTCACCACGAGTGTAATTAACATTTCGTTTGAAGGGCAAACGTGCCTCCTGGCAAGGACTTGGCGATTGTTATGATCTAACGCGTACGATTCGTTCCAGATCGACTGATCGTTCTGGGTCGGCCAGGAGTAAAGTCCGTTGTTATTCTATAGCTTTGTCATTCTATTTCTCGCCATAACCTTTTGCATTTAAATTGTAGCTAGGTTCAAGTGGAGGCGCGCTTAGATTAATGTTATCTTCTCTAGATTGTGTTATCTTGTTAGTTGGAAATGGAGCGTTTAGTAGCGCGTAGAAGGGCAAACAAGCAGGTTTGCTTGGTGCTACTACGAAATCTATATGTATATATATAGTTGAAGTATGTAGACTGACTTGTAAAGTAGGGAGACGAGAAATAGAAATGGCAAAGGTTAATTGGTCTTCTAGTGACAGAAGTGTAAGAGAAGTGTACCAATGAGTAAGACACTATTTTTATAGTAAACTAATCTACATATTGCATATTAGTGGGGGCAATTTTTTTCAAATCAGATTAAAACACACCGATCATATCTATCTTTGAAGTAGCCAAACACTTGTAACGTGTGACAGAATAAATAGTACATTAGTCATTAGTACAAATAATGAAATTCTCACCTGTAGAGACGTATCCTCAGGATGAAGTGTTGCAAGTTGTTTAACACGATCTTGAAGAATATTCACCAGCGTGGTGTACCTCCTGTTCAATGTATCTAGGTCTCTAGCGATGTCGTCAACGGTCGAGACGTATTCTCTTCGTGGTTTCTTCACGGAAGCATCCAGAGATGGGCAGATATCTTCCAATTGTTCCTTGAACGCTCGAAGGCTTTGTCCGTAGATCTAAGGGTTTCGGTTAGCCCGTTACGGTTAGTGGATAGTATTAGATTGTCGCCTGTGCGTTGCTACCCTTCTATACCCTTTAGCAATTCACTAGTTACCGCCGTCCTAAAGGACACGCCGCAATCTTCAAGCAAGCCGACCGCGTGACAAGCGGGACAACACGGTCGATCATGGGTAAAATTATAGTCTTTAGCGAATATTTAAGCGGCTTACATTATCTGCCAATTAATCGAAGTCTCTAAAAGCTAATGAAGCACCTGGATCTTGTTAACGTTCAAACATGAACATTTTTGAACGCAACGAAGATCGTCAACTAAGCGCAACGAATCACCTCCCTCTACTTTTGCATACACCATGTGTTCACAAGGCTGTACACTTGAATATTACATCCGTTAACCGTGCCTCTGTTTGGTATTATTATTAACAAACGATAGGGTGCACAAAGTGAGGAACAAGCGAATTTAAAAAAAGAAAAAAAAAACTGCTAGTGTGTTCCAAGCGATAAATGGTAATTAAAAGCGCATTTGTGAACACGCTTTCAATATTAACAGAAAGAGAGGTAACTCTTTCCTTATCTTTTTTTTTTTTAAGTAGATGAAAAACCACCAAAAGCCAGGTGTATATGTATAGGTCTACTAATATAGCGTTAGCCTGGACTAAGCCTACGTTTGTATGTATGTTCAGCAGCTAGAACATGGGCAGGGATAAGATTAAAGCGATATTTAGTGAAAGCGAGAGGAACGGCAGCTCGCGTTGCATCCTTGATCCCTGGAAAGAATTTGAAACCTCGACGTGTTCAAAGACACGTTTCGTGTTCACAAAATCGTACGAGCCTCTGACTCTCGTTGGTCGTACGATTCCCTGAAAAAGCCCATGAAAGAACAAAGACACCCTTGTTGCGGATATATCGATGCTGGCTGCGAAGACAAGAGAGAGTCCATCCAGTAGCTTATAGCGGCGACAGTGATACACAGTAGTAGCGTATTTTCCTAGTGATTGCAGCTTGATGACAATTACAGCCTGATGATCCAGACGACGGGCCACGATGAAAACGCATCATCTTCTGAACAGTGTACCTCTCACGAATATCTAGCAGTGGTCGTAGATACGTTCGTGGACGGAGACAATGGGTAACAAAAATTTGAAAGGAAAACACGCGACGTGGGAAACGCGACGCGAGAGACAATATCTGTTCTATGTAAGGGGTTACTAATACGTAACAAGGACTCACGCAATATTCCCATTCACGCAAGCGTTCATACCGTAAGCTAAAAGGCTACCTAAAGGCTACCTAATGCCTAGCTAAGCCTACCTAAGGCTTGCGAGTACCCATTCGCGAACTTGTCGCGTCTGTCTCATCTTACCTTTCCTTCACGAATCAATCGACCACCAGTCACATTTACCGCCTCGATCGCTGGAGCACGTTCCACCACTCTGTTTAATAGATTCTAAGAAAAGAAACAAGTTATAAAATACCGATGACGTAACGGTCGATTCAGAGAATCCACGTTAAGCGTTACCTTCGCGTTCTCCACTTCGAGCTTGCCGTACGATTCATCGACGAAATCAACCTCGTTTCTGTACGCGTGTTCCAATTGTTGAGCTAATCCGTAAGCCGTTTCTGCGCTACGAAGTCTGTCTACCAGTTGTCTGCAAAGATTCGTCCACCTGGCGTTTAATTTGTTCACTTCAGCGTCCAATCTATCCATGTCTGAGTGAGGACCACGATGATTCGGTCTTGACTTCATCATGCGTCTCGCGTTGTGTGCATCTTCGTTCAGTTGATCTATAGCAGTTTGTTGTTGGCTAGAGGCGTTCTGAAGTACCATCAAGTCTTCCAATACGTTTTGAAGTCCCTCCAAGTCGGAGGGTAATTCGTCGAACGAGGCTAATTTCAATTCAAACTCAGACATCGAGGTGGTGTTCTCCTCTAGACCAGACAACACGATCTCGATACACTTCAGTCGTTCGATATAACGATTGCTTGCGTTCCAGATGTGATTCGACTTGGCGATGACCGCGTCCAGCTTGTTCCTCATCGCTGGAGTCTTTAAGGTGATACCTCGGAAGGTTTGCACGACCCTGTCTAGATCCGGAGCCAGGCGTTTCAGACTTTGCTCGAAATCTTTATGCTGTAGGACTAAATGTTCCAAACTCTCCAGGTCTCTGGGCAATGGTACAGCTATACGAGTATTCAGAACTCTCTCAGCTTCGTCTAATGCTTGCTGAAGAGCAGAGACCTGCTCGTTGAAAATACGTCCCGCGTTCTTCGACTCTTCCTCTGCTCTAGCACGTTTCTCTAGCTCGTCGAACAGCTTGTTCACTTCAGCCATTTCTCGTTTTAATCTTCTCAGTTGCGGATCAGCGGGATCACCTTCCGATAACAATTCTTTAGCGTCCTCGTTCAATGCGTTTCTTATAGCAGTTCGTTGATCTTGACCCAGAGCTAGGAAATAAGGGAGATCCCAGTCCTTCACCACTTTGATGGTCGCGAATATCATGTTCTGTCTCAATCTAAGCTGTTTACGTTGCCACAGAGCCACGCTTCGGTCGTATTGTCGCTGTAACCTCTCCGCAGCGTCGAGAGCTTCCTTGTCAGGTGGATGGAGAGAAAAGCAAACGCCTGGAACCGGAGATTCAACGCCCTCCTGGTTCTTCACGCGCCACTTTATCCTACCAGAGTTGTCGTATAACGTGCATTGTTCGCCCTTCTCGATCGACATCTGAAACAGACCAATTTACGCGTCAAAAGTAACGCGACGGACAATCGAGGGAACAGCATAATGATTGTTAGACCTACGTTCACTTGTTTGTAACTGCAGATGCAAGTGACTTGCATTGGAGGCGTCACGGGTTGTCGACGTTGCTTCATTGGTACGATGTCTTTTGCTTGTTGCACTAATTTCTGCACGTGATCACCGTAGCTATTCAATTCTTCCCGCAGCTCTTGCATGCCCTTCACAAGGCGATTACCTTCGTTCAACGAGAAGTCTGATTGAGAATAAGTAGTGTTTAATGTCTCGTCTCTCTTCGAGATCCACTGTTCCGCTTGTTGTATCTCTCTGAAGAATTGTTGACTCTGAGCCGCGTGTTTCAAATGGACTTCTAAACAAAGGGTTAATTGGAGTAACCAGGCCCATTGGCTCTGCATAGCAGACATGTAGGCCTCGATGGTTTTCGCGGCAGGATGATGTTGTAGGACCAAAGCTTCACCGCGATCTTGCACCGCGGAGAACTGGATTTCTCGCTTCTCTAGGTCGCTCATGAGGGACTAAAAAGGAACAGGAAATTTTGAAATGAACGATGTATAAAGACAGAAGTTTATGAATCGTTATGATTCGCTCTAAATAGAATTCCTTATTACCTCTATACCAGATCCATAGGTACGCTTGCGCAAAAATGAAAAAGAGTTAGCCCAGCTTATTCGAAATTCAAGGATAAATTATGAGGGAGTGAGAGTTAGAAAAATGTCCAAATAAATATCTATTAATCACCTCGTAATACTGTTCGATACTCTGCACGTTCAAATTCTTGTCGCTCCAGTCTCGCGTCACTTCTGTCTCCTCTTTCGAACTCAACCAAACCAACTCTCCGGTCGCTGATTGTATAAAGTCGTGCAACGTGTCCAAATCGGAAAGTCTCTTATTAGAGGCCGACAATAATTCCACGTAAAGCTTTTGTAAAACAGCAAGGTGTTGATTGTACAACGTCAGTTCTTCGCCGTGGAAGTGGCTCTTGTATTGTACGCATTTGTCTACTTTAGTATGGAATTGTTCGATGTTTTTATGTTCCCTTTGGTGAACGTCCAGCTCGTTTTGAACACTAGGCAGATCTGAGCCGTAGTCCGCCTCCTGGAGCTGTTTAATCTTAGCCTTGCACCAGTCGATGCAGTCGTGTAACGCACGGAATTGGGGATTCGTGTCTACTAATCGTGTTTCATGGACGGTTGTACGGTGTTTCGTGACGACGCGTTCCTCTACCGGGAAAGACACGGCCGACAGCGGCTGTACCAAACGTTTGTGAAGAAGAGATCGCAGGGCGACCCATCGTTGATGTAGCTTCTGAACTCTGCAACACAGTACCATTTCGTTATTATTTTTTCATTCGTTTTATTTTCAGCACAGAATTCTGTACCACATTCTAAATTCTAAAAAAAAATGGACTCGAGAGAAACACCTTTTATGAAGTTCGGCTGCCTGACTGTATCGTCCCTCGGTAAGAGTATGCACGTCCGTGAATATATTTTGAATCTGAATCTCGGTGTTACGAATATCCTGTTCCAATAGATCCACCGCGTGTTTCGCCTCCAAAGGATGAAGTCGATCAAGGCGTCTCGCTTCATCTTCTACGCGTCTCTCTAACTCCTCCAGTCGATTGTCGGTCGCCTTCATCTCTCTGTGCACTTTCTCTGCCAGTCGTTGCAGTCGTTCGAGTCTACCCCAAACAAAATACGAGCATAAAATCTTCAACCGGATCCAATCGCCAATTCCAGCAATCTCTCTCCCGTTTCTTATCGATTATTGAAATCTTACCGTTTAATTTCGTCGGTGATCGCTTGTTCACGCTCCATATGCAACATCATCAATCGGTTCCAATTCTTCTCGATCACCTCGATATGTAATTCAGGCTCCATATCTACCTCGCCCACCGCCTCGAAATATTTCTGCAGATCCCTGAATATATGGGCGAGCCTCTGTTTGTCCCTGTACCGCGGCGGTACCTCTTCGTTCTTGAATTTCGTGCTGTCGGCCGCTAATTTCTTCATCTCGATCAACGTTGGAGGGAAGGCACGTTCCTGCATCAGACACATATTCTCGCGTATCCACATATGGAGGGAATTAGCCAGCTCTCTGTACTCCGCCGAACGCCTTTGAGCCTCGGCATCGTACAACGGATGAATCGCCGGCGGCTCCGGGAACACGTCGTAGAGCGAAGAGATGTACGTTATCAAGGACTTCTCATCCGGTTCAGGAGTATCCACATCTGCAACGAAACGGAATAAGTTGGTTCAGACATAGCGTGTACCGGTTACTTTGCTTTCCTTTCCAATAAGAATTAGACAGTCATCTTAACCTGGTTAACTGGATTTTTTTTTTTTTTTTT